ACTCTGGGGGGGATGTGGTTTGTGGAGGAAATTGCAAAGCATCCTGGGATGCTGAAGGACTGAGTTAATTTGAATCTGGAGGGTATCTGGGACAGAAGTTCAGTAAACCAATTTAACTTAAAACAGTTAAGTCTGATAGTGCATCCATCCAGGTTTATCTTAAACCAGTTTTGGCCATTTTGAAAGTGGTTTATGTGCACTGAACTTCTGGGCTAGGGACAGGCATTCAAAAAGCCTGAGCCTGAATTGATTCAATCTTTGCAGGTTAGTCTAACCTGCCTAGGTTGAACCGATTTGCAATTGCACAAACATTCCCTCTGGACTGAGGAACATTCCTGGTGGACTGGCTCGGGCTTGAAGCTAGCGGGGCCCTCCCTTCCCTTCCACAGTGTTGAGCTGAGGGGGGCATCGCTGATCCCCAGCAGGACACTCTGCTTAGGGAGGGGTTTAAACCCTCACCCTGCTTGTACTGTCCCAGGCATTTCTCCGTTCACTGTTCAAGGGTGTTGCCAGCCCCCAGCTAGTACTCTGAGGCAAAGGGGTGTGGGGTATCTGTTGATGATACTGAGCTTTTCAATCTCCCTCTCCCTGCTGCTTCATACTGTCGGCAAACCTGACAGGCAAGGGAGCCAGCAGAGGGCTGATAACAACAGCGTTTATCTGCCCATCAAGAAAACCAAAAGCCTCTCATTAGTCCAAGCTCTTCTTAAGCAGCTTTTTCCAAGGAAGGAATGGAGGAACATTACCAGCTGACCTGTTGATTAGCTCCAAAAAGCCTTAAGCAGACACTGTTCTGTCTTTCTGTCCCAGTGAAATTGGAGGCGCGCGCGCGCACACACACACACACACACACACACACACACACACACACACACACACCCCTACCTCTCAGAATTAGCTAGCATACCACGTGCCTAGGGTCCATAGGGCTGGGGGCTGTGCTGTGGGAGATGGGAGGGAAGGGGGAATCCCTGCTTGAGCAGCATGCAGCGAGGAGTGGGGTAGAGCAGGGGGAAGCAAGGCAGACCCTGCTATGCCTGCATAGCATAGGGTCTGCCTTGCTTCCCCCTGCTCTACCTGCAGTCTCCACTGAAGCTCTCACTAGGGGGCAGAGGGGCAGGGCCAACCCTGTTTTCTGGAGCAGGTAGCACAGCCCAGGGTTGCAAAGCATCTGGGATGCTGGGGGGACTCTGGTTTAATTTAAACCAGGAAGGGGTCTGGGACAGACGTTGCATAAACTAGTTTGATCCAAATCAGTTAAGTCTGATACTATATTCAACCAGGTTTACCTTAAACCAGTTTTAGCCCTTTTGAAACTGGTTTATGTGCACTGAAAATATGTTCTGTTACAGGTTTAAACCAATTTCTGATCACTTAAACTGGTTTATGTGTAATGTCTGTCCCTAGCCCTGTTGTCTTACAGATTTAAATTGGTTTCCGATCATTTATGCCAATTATATGTAATTTCCGTCCCCAGCCCGAAAGTTCTTTTAACTCAGAAAGTTTAAATAGAGCTTCCAGTACAGCTACATACCCAACAGCTAGCCACCAGAAACTCTAAAAAGATGAGCCTTTTGCTGTTTTAAAAGTTGCTAGGATGCCAGAAGCAGAAGTGAACTCTAGGCTCGAGTGCTTTCTAATGACTAAGAGTAATAGGTTGTTACGCTCCTAAAGATTACTCAGATGAGGCAATATCAGCTATCATGGTGGTACAGAAAGGGGTGGCAATCTTTCCCATAAACAGGAGTCAGTACATATAGACCTGCATCGACTTTAGTTTTTTGTCCCAATTTATTAGGAAACCAGCTGATGAAATGATGCCTGTTCTCTGTAGCTAATACTGCTGAGCAGTTGGACAGCCTAATACATCACTAGCTGAAGCTTCCAAGTGGGAAGTTTCTTCAAGGAGAACTATGTGGGTAAAGGTCATTGCAGAAAGCCATTCTGGAAGAAGCAAAGCCATGAATTATGTTGGCATAAACTAGATTGAACAAAAAAGTCACTTCTAGCCAAGAGAGCCAAAAAAAAGTTTCACTCGGATATAAATAGAGCATATACGATGCTTAAAGCTGTTGAGAATTAAAAGGCATGTCAAATAGAAGTCTTGAATATAGACAAATTCTTCCAATTAAATAGGAAATTATTATTATTCACCCAATTTGTCCTTCTAAATCACAAACAGATACTGAGAAAATACACACATTTTACATTTCAGTCCAGAAAAAATATCACTTTTTCAGTAATATCCCTATGCCTATACATGTAGGTGATTACCAATTTTAAGTAAATAACTTGCTTCTAATTCTCTAAAAACATCAACTCAATTTGCAGTGGTGAGCAAAAAAGCCAATAAAATGTTGGGCATCATTAAGGGAATTGAAAACACAATGTCACAATGACATTATCATGCCATTATAGAAATCCGTGGTGCATCCAAATTTTGAATCTTTTGTGCTGTTCTAGTGTCTGCATCTCAAAACAGATACAGTAGAATTAGAAGAGGTACAGAGGATAGCAACCAAAATGATCAGAGGTGTGGAGCAATTCCTATACCCAGAGGAACTAGGCTAGGCCTCTTCAGTTTATAAAGGAGAGGCTGAGAGAGGAGATATGATGTATAAAATCATTAAGGGTATGAACCAAGTGAACAGGGAACTATTGTTCACTAAGTCCCAGAATACTAGAACTAGAAGTGAAATTAGGTGGCAGGTTTAAAACTAGCAGTACTTTTTTATTCAGCACATAGTTCACCTGTAGCAATCAATTCCACAAGTTGTGGTGGAGGCAGATAGTATGGCCATAGGAGGTGGTGGAGGCGGGTTCAAAAAGGAATTAGACATATTTATGCATAATAGCTCATTAATAGGTGTTGAATAGAACAATTGGAGATGTTTCCAGTGGTATGTCTGAACCAATACTGGTGGATTCCAGGGTGGGTAATGAATAGGGGATAGGTCATTCTTAGTCTAGATATATCTGGTTCAGTTCCCTCCCTCTAATGCATCCATCCATGCCACTGTCAGAGTCAGGATAGTGGGCTAGATGGACCATCAGTTTGACCCAGTATAGCACATCTTAACGTTCTTAGAAGTGAAATATTTCACCATTGACCTTGTGACAAGTTACTCAGAGTTGAGTTTGTTGCTTGGTGTTATGCATATACACAAAGCTAATAGATAATCAACTGTATGCAACAAAACTTCTTTGTGTGTTGATTCTAGCGACATTATAAACAGGGATCTGGGATGTCCTGGTTTTATCAGAGAGAACGTGGATTTTCTCTTTTAGCAGAGAAACCCACAGATTTCCCACTTTTGCAAAGAGCTTTGCAGGCAGGTAGAGTTTGAGCCTGCAAGAGCTGTTTTAATTTTAATCATGGATTTGGCAGGTTTTATCAGAGAATATGCCAGTTTTTATCACAGAAAACCAGGATCCCTGATTATAAAATACTAAAGCAAAACTTAGTTTTTTAACCCACCAGAAGTTCCAAGTCAGACTGTAACCACAGATTCCTTTTATAAGTTTGTGCTTTTAAATGTCTATTTAGAATTTGAAATTTTATGTCTATATAACAAAAATACTTGCATAAAAAAGTAACACATCAAATAAAAAACACACTGACAAGGATTTTTTTCTGTATGGTCCATACAAGTACATTTTACTTTCGTATTCATATTTAAGATGCAAGCCATTTTAGGAGAAACATTTTATTGTAAAACGCTTATATTTGAGGGAATACTGTATTATTCAACAGCATTATTTTTTTGACAGATGAATATTTGAAATTTAGTAGAAATGAGAAATCTTATTTACAAGTTCTTCAAAAGTTATAGAGATGTATTGTTTTGTTTTATTTCTTTACCATAGTAACTGTTATAAAAACACTGTCTGTTCTGCATATCTATAGAGTTGTCCAGCATGCTGGGGTATGTCTGCAGTGGCCTAAGGCAGTGGTGCTCAACCTTTCTTGTTTGGCAGCCTGGATGGGTAGTGCCCAGTTCATCTGCAGCCCAGATCCTACTGGTGGTCTGGATCTGGTGCCTGGGATGGTGGGGCCCCATCTGGCTGTACAGAAGGATTTGGAGGCCAGTCTGGCCCCAACTCAGCCCTGTGGAGGTAGGGAGCTTGACATGACTCATTTGGGGGGGACAGAAGTCAGCTGCAGAGAGTGGAGGGGGTGTGGTACAACCCCATCTCATCCTTGCAGGGGTAGTGTGGCCTAGTCCTGGCCTGGCCCTGATCCAACAGCAGCGGGGCTTAGGGTATGAAGTTTAGGAATTTGGCAGCAAGAAGGAAGTGGCTGTGTTAATTGCCACCACACCCTTGCCGCCAAATTTCCCAACCTGCGGGGAGCCCCATGGGCTGGATACCATGGCTCCACAGGCCACTTCTGGTATGCGGGCTAGAGATTGAGCACCAGTGGCCTAAGGCAGTGCCATGCAGAGATTCCCAGTGTTGGCTGTGCATGAACCAACCCCAGAACCAAAATAATATAACTGTTAGTATGGCATTGTATCTAGGTTACTAAGCACTTCATCCCAGTAGAGCTAAATTTATTAATCCGGGTACTGTACTGAAGTAACTCTTGTGTACTTCTGATTCTGAAGCTGCTGTGTTCAGAGCTTGCTTATAATATAGGTATGGTACTACCTTGCATGAGATTGACATAGTTGGACTATGTTTTCCATATTTACACTCGAGTGGTGTACTCGGAAAGGCTTCTCAAATTTTCACCTCTTGCTGAGATCCCATGCAAGTGGGATCAGTTAATTGCTTTACTTCATCTTAGCCATTATGTTTAGAGTGGTATCAAGTGATTGCAGAGAAAATTAATATTGTTGTTATGGTTGTGTTTATTGTTTAATTTTGGAATCAGGTAGAAAGTCTAAATCATACTAAATACAATGTTTGAAGATCATAAATCATAAAAAGATGTTGAAGTCACAGAAAATAGACTATACAAACTACACTTTCATGTTTTTCTTTTTTACATCCTATAGAATGTCCAACACAGAAAGTATTCTAGATGGAAGGCTGCATATATTCATAACTGCCTAAGGAACGGAGAGACTCCTCAGCCTGGACCTATTGGAATGGAAGGAGAAGATTATGGTACGCACTTTCTATTTCACATAAAATAACATCAACAGGTTGGATGGTCTGGTGACTTAATTACTTTTAACCTCATCTTACAGAAGCAGCACACACTCTGAATGTTCCAGCTCCTTTTCCACCTCTCAGATGTCTAAGCGGCATTTATCAGAAACACATATTCCTATTACATGTTGCACAACTGCCATCAAACTGTTAAGACTTTCAGATTCCTTACATAGCTTTATTTTGGTCTACATTGCATGCTCAAAAGTGATCTATTTAGGTGTCTAATTCCACATAAGCTCTGAGATTCAGTTCCATATAAAAATGCAAACAAATTGCCCAAAGCTCCCTAGGCCTTAATCATAAACAAACAGGCTGCTCGCAGATATTAAAAACAAAACAGAAAACAGCACTTGAAATTTCATATGCTTCCACGCCGAGCCCAGCACATGCCCAGAAGAGGCAGTGTGTTATTTGGACCTGGCTTGCCTATTGTCTGTATAGGTCAGGAGCTTTAGTAGGCCTTTTATGGCTTTTTTATCTAATAGCTGATTGAATCAGCTTCAGATAAAAAGCATCAAAAAGCCCCACTGAAGTGCCTGGTCTGTGTAGATGCTGCTAAGCCTGGTCAAAGTAACGTACTGTGCTTCCAGTAAAGCACTTTTTTGGGGGGTGTGGGTTAATGTCTGTGACCAGCCACAATGATTAGTTTGAAGAAAGGAGGAGGAAGAGGGTCAACACACTCACCCTTTAGTTTAATTTCCAGAAAGCGGACGAAGTTTCTAGGCCCTGCTTAGTCGGAAGGGATTTGAATCTGCATCTCCCACTTCCCAGCAAAGCATCCATTGGCTGTGGTTCTGGCAGGGCTGAGAACATCTTCCTGTTGAAGCTGAGCCATTGGGCATCCAAGCTGGAAAGAGTCATGGGTCTAAAAGAAGAGCAACCAAAAACAGTAGGAATTTCTGACCTGGTCAGTAGATGACCTCACTCCCAAAGCATATTTTTATCCAAATACTATTGAATGCCAAATAAAACAGCATTGGAAGCAGCACCTATTGGACCAATTAGTCAGTTCTCCCAATTGGATGCAGCTCAGAATAGCCATAGAGTTTTGCACCATGGCTACACTTGATTTCCACCACCCTCCCATCACAGCTAAACCAGGAATAACAAAGAGCTGAAAAAAAACAAATTTCTCTTCAGCCCTGTTAGAGCTCCATTACACCGTCGCAGAAGAGATGGTATCTGGCCTCTAGTCTTTGCTCCAAACAACTATAGTGATTTGATTGTCGTTTTTTTAAAAATTAGCCTTTGGAGTTCACTAAGGAAAAAATGTTTGAAACTTTCAGAATGATTTAGCAAACGAATACATTTGTATAGGAGTAAGAATGCTGGCAGTTGTAGTAATTTTTCATTATTTGGAGTAAAATCTTGCATTTCCAGAAATAAAGTTTGAAACTCTGATTATAATAAAGATTAAAAGTGTTATTTTTATGGAAATGAATTGTCTTGGAATAGGTTTTTCAAATAGTTCCAGTAACAAGTGAATACTTTTGCTGCATACAATTCAGGATGGTACAATTCATGATTTCCCCATGTTTCCGCTAGTGAAACCACTGAAATTTTAAATGACCGTAAGTGATATTGAAATGGTAAATTCTGTGACACACTTCCTTGGATCCCTCAAGCATAGTCTAACCACTCTTGCAGCAGCAGGACATTGTATGCTGTTGTTGCTCTTCTTTACCTATGACAGGTGTTATGCCTTGTGGTTGTGTGACAGTTGTGTGTGTAGTTTTAGGAATATTTGGACAAGGATTTGTCTGTGATGGTTTTAATAGGGATGATCCTGCTTCAAGCAGGGGGTTGGACTAGATGACCTCCTTTCAGGCCTACTTTTCTACGATTTGAAGTTTATCAAGTGGCTACTTAAATTCTGTAGCGTTTGGTACCAAGATGCACACTCATTATTTGGCCTTTACCTGGTTCTGCTATGGATTCTAAAGTATGATTAGAAAATTGAAATTAATAATAGTATCTCTGTGCTTCTATTTAATTAAAAATATGTAAAAAAGTAGGGGACAATTTTTTTTTAATTATTAATCTTGATTATTAATCTTCTTATTATGGTCTTGCGGTTTTTTACTCCTCTTTCCTGTATACTGGAGTGCTGAAGAGGACAGGAATAACTTACAGTTCAGAAAAGATCAGACTTGGCCTGAGTTCAAATAAAGGATGCTACTCCAGGTGGTGGTCACTAGCTGATCCTTCAGAGGAATGTAAATAATAGTAATAGAAAAACTGCTGTTCCTGATTTTTGAGAAAATGTATATACTTAAAATAGTTTGTGGATAACCTACTCCTAAGAATCCATTTTTCTTAAGACTGCTTGAATTAGACATTAATTTATGCCCTGAATCATAAAGTTTTATATCCCTTCCACAATGATTGTATACCTGAATAACTGTTTGGAGTCATACATGGAAAACATGATCAATGAAAAACTCTGAGGGGAAAATGCTTCTTCCTGGCAGTTGTCAAAATATGCATATTATCTGTTGCATTTTTAGGTAAACTATGCTTGGCCATTTTTATAATCTTTTATTGTAGTTTTAATCTTACCTGGCATGGTTTGGTATTTCCAGGCTTTCAGATTTCAAAGATTACTTAAACCTATCCCTTCTCTGTTTATGTATAAGTTAGAGTCCCCATTTTCCTTCTAATTTATGTATGCAAAACAATTCCTTTTTGCTGTAGTGTTAATTAATTTCTAAACTGATTTTGTAACCTAAGTTTACTCTTAATTGGTAGTACATGATTAGCATTACATTTTTAAAAAGAAATGTAAACAACCTGAAGGATTGACACACATGAGTAAGTTATGTACAGTCCCAGTGGGTACAAAACACAGTATTAAAATAGAAGTGATTTTAATAAATATTTATGGGAACCAGTATTCATAGGCTCATAGAAAATTAAGGTTGGAAGGGACCTTACGAGGCCATGTAGTCCAGCCCCCTGGTCAAACCAGGACCATCCCCAACTATGTCATCCCAGCCAAAAACTGCATACTTAAAAAGTAACTTCTCTTCTTTCCAGCTAGTCCTTCCTGGACAGTTTATACCTATCCAAGACAGTACTTCAGTCATACAAGCTGTCCCACCAGGTCTGTTTCTAATGCATATGCAGTCACATCATAGTTCAGTGACTATGCAAGGACTCCAATTCTTCCTGCTTGTTTCCCAGGCTCCATGCATTCATGTAAAGACACCTGAGGTGTAACTAGTTGACTGCCATACTTTCTCAGAAAGAATGAGAAGGCCTCCTCTGTTGCCCCCTCCTGCTTGTGCTTACTCCAGGTCACCTGCTTCCCTATTACTTCAGGGCAAACTTAATTTAAAGCCCTCCCCACTAGGTTAGCAGGCCTGTCTGCAAAGATGCTCTTCCCTCTCTTTGTCAGGTGGATCCAGTCTCATCTTATCAATCCTTCTTGGAAGAACAACCTGTGCTTGAAGAAGCCAGAGCCCTGCTGTTGACGTTGTCTGTGCACCCGGACATTAATCTGCAGGATATGTCTGCTCCTGCCTAGGCCCTTCCCCTTGACTGGAAAGATCAAGGGAGAGTACCACCTAAGCTTGTTTCCTTCACCAAGACCCCTGTGGTCACTTTTGATCTGCTCAAGATTGTCCCTGGCAGTATCATTGATGCTCACATGGATGAGCTGTATGGGGTATTAGTCAGAGAGCCAAATGAATCCTGGTAATCTTTCTGTGACATCTTGGATCTGGGCTTTAGACAAGCTGCAGACAGGCCAGCAGATAGATGCTTCCATGGCCTGCAGAATGGAGTCTCCGAGCACCACCACCACCCATCGCTTCCTCTTGGTGGCAATGGTCTCGTTCCTCCCATTC